ATCCCCACTAAAAACATGGCTAGAGTCCTGGCTTAAATAATTTTCCGATGCCAAAGACAGCCTAGCGCAGTACTTGGTTGGATTCCTAGGTAAAATTTGAGCAGCCTTGCCTCTCTGTGGAGCTTCAGCATGGTAGGACTTGTCCTGGTTAGTATTTCGGTAGTTGTTAACCCGTTGCACCTGTTTTACAGAGAGCAAAAGCAGGTGTGGCAGGAAAAGTAACTTAGAGAAGATAGGGCATATCATAAATACGACTGTTGTTGATACTAGTGGCAGTCATGCTTATGAAGCTGTTGCAGGAAAATGATAGCACACTGTAAACAATGCTGGTTTACCAGCTTTTTTAATAGCAGTTCTCTGCACCTTGTCTTGGAACTGAACTTGCTACATTTGTGTATCTAAAATTAAAAAAATGCATGGTTTATGATATTTCTTTCTTAAAGAAAACCAAAACAGACCTTTTTTAGTACCTAAAAAGTAAGTTTATCATTTGGTTTAATCCCCATCCATGTATGTTTGTATGATGTACAGTAACTATGAATGAACTGAGAACAAACCCGTTTTTCATTTAATTAATTTTTTTCCCCTTCTAAGAGACCCGAATTCCTTGTCCACCTTGAAAACATTTGAAAAAGCAGTTGAATGGGCCAAATCTGGAGAGTTCACTCAGCAAGATATTGATGAAGCAAAGCTAGCAGTGTTTGCTGCTGTAGATGCACCAGTAGCTCCTTCAGATAAAGGTACGTTCTCTCCAGCCTACCAGCACTGCCAATGTTTGGGGTCCTTTAAGTTTAAAGGGAAGAAAATAGTTTGTTAAACTGTGTGATAGGGTAAGATTCTTACTTGACAGATGTAAGACAATTGCAGTTTCAACGAAGCAATCGGTTCCTGTTGTTCCCTTTCAGAAACACCACATACATTCAGCCTCTGTTGAAGTATTCGTATTCATGTGGCTCCTTAATGTCAGGTGAATACAACTACGAGCTGGGTGTAGATTAAGGAAACAACTCAAGGCTTAGAAAGGGCATTGAATGCAAGCAAATAAAAGGGAATATTGATTTTTCTGATTTGAAAAATGTTGAAGGATTATTTTCCTGACACAAGTACACCTATTGAATATGGATGTCACTGACCTTTTGTGTTAAAGCCTAAAAGTCCGTCTGCTGTGGTGGAGGGTCTTACCTTCTTTACGTATCTGCGTACTTCTGTTGGCTTGGTAGTGTCTTCAGTTTGCTCACACTCTGCTTTGCTTTCCTTACTTTTCCCTTCTTCCCTTTCTCCCTCCCCCATTCTCAGCTTAGTTTCAGTTCAAAACTTGCTGAGTTAAAATACATTTATTTCTTACACACAAAGGAGTTTTAAGGTTAAAATTAGCATTATTTTAATGTGTACTTGTATTAACAGTAACTTATTAAACAAGAAATCTTAAAATGAAGCTAACGTTCAGTTGATGGAACTTGGTTTTGGTCTGGCCAGTTGAAAAAGTAACCAGTTTTAGGTGCCTATGGTGAAATGCATATTGAATGTTGGCATTTGTGAGAGCAGTGATTTACATTCTTTGATGTTCGAACACACAACTTAACAGAGCTATGGCAAATTTATTGAAACACTGAACAGAAGAACATTGTTCAACAGGCCTGGAAGCTGTTGCAGAGAGAAATACCTGTGCCTTTGTGCTACTGTTATTTGTGAGGACTTGAACAGCCCTACCTACCCTGGAAGCCAGCCCTGCTTGGGGCCAGAGGTGGGGCTAGCAGCCAAATGTCCTTCCAAGCCACATTTTTTACCCTATGGTTATTTGCTTCACAGAAAGCTTTTCTGTGATTATTTTGGGGTCCACTGTTTGTTCAAAAACCTGTAGTATTAATAGTGATATTAAAATACCATAGGCAAGTATTCCAACGGAAGCATTTAAAGCATTTGTATGCAGATTTCTGTGTGTAGTACAGAAAGGTCATCAAACCTTTGCATTGCACATATAATTGAATACAAATCTGTCCTGGGTTCAGCTACAGCAGTCATTTTTTCTCCTTCTTAGTAGCTGATGGAGTGCTGTGGTTTTGACTTTCAGCCTGGGAACAGTGCTGGTAACACCAGTGTTTTTAGGTGTTGCTCAGAAATGTTTACTCTGACCAAGGACTTTCTCAGTCTCATGCTCTGCCAGGGAGGAGGGGAAGCTGGGAGGAAGCAGAGACAGGACACCTGACCCAAACTGGCCAAAGGGGTATTCCATGCCACAGCACGTCATGCCCAGTATAGAAACTGGGGGGAGTTACCCGGAAGGCCCAGATCGCTGCTTGGGTCAGGCTGGGTATCGGTCGGCAGGTGGTGAGCGGTTGTGTCCTTTTCCCTTGTTATTCCTCTTATCATTATTATTGGTAGCAGTAGTGGTTTGTATTATACCTTAGTTACTGGAGTGCTGTTATCTCAACCCGTGGGAGTTATATTCCTCCGATTCTCTTCCCCATCCCTCCGGGAGTAGGGGGAGGAAGGAAGGGGAAGGGGGGAGTGAGCGAGCAGCTGCGTGGTTCGAAGTTGCTGGCTGGGCTTGAACCACAGCAAAATCTTTGAGAAGTTTGTTGTTACAAACCACAATAAAAATAGAAATATTCATTAAATAGTTTGGCTAAAATACTGTTAGAAAGTACTGAGACTTCTTAGAATTAATCAAGTTCCTGAAGAAAGAGAATGAATTACTTCGGAGATTTTTAGGACCAGATTCAGATACACCTAAATAGCAAGTGTCTCTAGATTCCTTACAGTATCATTCTGACATTGGGCCTACATAAGATCTATGTTTATCTGGGCTGGCAACTCAGCAACAGGCGGGTTGGAATTCAATGATCTTTAAGGTCCCTTCCAACCCAAACCATTCTATGATTCTATGTGTAAGTTTTCTGGATCACAATTACATTCAGATTTTTTGATAAACTAAATCCCTTGCCACAATAAGAGTATGAATCTTTTTTTTTTTTTTTTTTTTTTTGTCCCCTAAATAGGAAACTCTTTGACTATCTCATCTCAAAAATTAATTTTTACCCAGTTCTAACTTTTGATATTTGATTTGCATTTAGATACTGCCTCAGAACAGTGGCTCAGAGGAGGGCCTGTTCTTCCCTTCTAAGACATGTACAGGTCTTAGTTTCCCCTGAAGTGTCACTAAGATTATTCAGGGCACCAGTGCTGTGCTTGAGTTTGTTTTGTTTATTCCCTAGGAATGGATCACTTTTTATATGGGATTTCGGATGAAAAGAAGCAGTCGCACAGGGAACAACTTTTTGCTGTCAACAGTGATAACCTGGTTGATGTATCAAACAAGTAAGTCTTTGCTCAATTTAGGAAAATGTTGAAAAATAGAATTAAAGCTAATTCAAAGAAGAAAACAGTTTGTGAAAGTTGTCATAGAGTTCTAGGATTTCTTCCCTTGGCCTTTTGTACCATTTCCACTATTTGCTTTTACAACATAGAGAGAGATGTTAATTATGCCCTGCTTGTGGCATTCTAGCAGATGTAACTCCCTCCTACATTCTGACTTTGTGGGCGATTGTTTTGCTTGCGAAAGGTCCAGAAACTGCCTGGAGAGAGAGTACCCACAGACATAAGTTCCTGGCTGTATGAGCTGCTGCTTTGGGACCCCGTAACATTTTGTGCTTCTTTAGACTTGCAAGTTCCACTTTAGATTAAGAATTCCACTATGGAAGAATAGCAGGCTAAGGAGATAGACTAGTTGGGGCTGTGCTTTAGGAGACCATTGTATCATGATGACTGGGGGAAAACCACTGTAAATCCAGAAGATGCTGTCAAGGCAGGTGGGGGTATGTACCAAACAGCGCTTTTTCCTGAAGTGGGAGTATTTTTTACTATGAAGCAGAGTTAGGGATAACTGAATGCAGCCCCTTATTTGTTTGTCTTTTTCTTGCAGGTACCTTGCAGTTGGAAAGAGCACTCGGGGTCAAGCTGTGCTTGGCCCAGAGAATGCAGGTATCACCAAAGATCCCTCCTGGGTCAAACGATGAACTGTTGACGAACATCCAAGCTAATAACAAGCCACTCTGTGTGACTATCTCATTAAGCTTTTTAGTAACTGTTAACAGTGCTATGGTCCAACCTAAATGCTCACTGCTGCTTTTAACAGTGCCCAACAAACCAGTTTAAAGCTGTCCTTCTTGAAATAACTGAAATTTTTTCTAACCATCCAGTATTTGAGAGCAAGTATTGTACACTCTGTATGGCAAAGACAGACCTTAATATTTCACTGAAGACTCGCTCCCCCAGTCGCATATGAATACTATATAAATTAAATATTTTTGTATATGTAAAATTCTAGAGTTTTAAATGGTGTTTGTTCGAAATCATGCCTGCTGTTGGATATATAAAAATTATGTCTCTCATACTGACAGATCTATTCTTTGGTGTGATAATTCCAGCTTCCTTTGCATAAGCCACCTACAGCCAGGAGCCCTGTACATGACAGTACATTCCACCTCGCATCACGCTGAGAGTGTAGTGAATGGCAGGGTAGTGGGCACATCACGAATGAATCAGTGTATTTTAAGTTCAGTTTATCTTGCCAATTTGGGCAACATTTTGATATGACACTGTCTAGTGCTTAACTTTTGCCAAGGTCTAGTTGACAGATAAGCTGGCATGAAAAAACATTTTTACGTTTTTTTATCAGTGTGGGGTTTTTTAATAGTCTTGAAGAAGCCCAGAGAAAGGAATCATGAAACAAGGACCACATTACACCCTCATGTTTTTAAAGTTTGCTTCCCACCACCACTTCCCCTTCAAACAGTTTTATGCCTGTACAAAAAGAAACGATTCTGAGTTCTAGCCCAATTCTGAAGCAACAAAATCAACTTTTGCTGCTGTGACTGCTTCCTGCATCATTAGGGCAGGTGCTTTTTTCCTTTACTGGAGCATACAGGGATATACTTCACGAAGCATTATTCCCCCAGCTGTCTAAAAGCAAGTAAACACAATTCCTGACACATTGCTCGTGATTTTTGCAACAGAACTTTATTTCACTTCAGATACATTAAGCACATCCTGTAACTCAACACAAAGCTAGCCATCTACACCTAGTTTTGGGTGTAAGTACTCTGAATCAAAGTGCAGGAGATGAGTAACTTACAGAGTGCATAGAACAGTGCTGCACTTGCTCTTAAAGGGTAGTATCAGTAAATGGTGTTTATCCATTAGATGCTAGGGTTTGTTTCAAACGTAACACAAATACAGGACAAAATCTGTGTGTGACATCTGAACGTCTCATTTCACATAAAGTGCTGGTACAATAATTTAAATGTTACAAAACAAAGCTGTAACGATTCTAAAGCATTGTTACTCACAATGTGCATCTATTACAATAATCTAGAAGTGATGTCTTTAGATAGCTCCGGTTTCTGCCTCCTTTGGGCTGTGCATAGCAACATGCTCCAGCTGGCCTGAGTCTGAGACGTCGTAACTAGTCTTGTACTTGGCCAGGATTTTCATCAGTGGTCGCAGCTTCAGCCACCATTGCTCCTTGGGAATCCTGTGTCTGTGTGAGAGGTGTGGGGGTGAAAAGACATCAGGTGATTTACTTAGTGGCCAAGAAAAACAGTTTGGACAATACCAGCAGTAATGGCATTCCTTATAAACAGGATCCAGACACATTTATTGTCCCAAAAGAAGGAGAAATAAGGACAGAATACTGAAGGAATTAAGAGATTTTACTGGAAGATGCTCTATATAGGTAAGTACAATATCAAATTTGGCATAAAAATGCTGCCCCACTAAACTGCACCAGAAGTAGGCATTAGAGCATAGATTTATGAGAGTTTTATGAAAGAATTATGAGAAAGTTACTTAAAAGAACAGAGGAATCCCAGAATTCATAACAAGAAACTTCCAAGTATAAGGAGGATGAAAAGAAAGCACAAAGGGAGTCATTAAAAAAGACAAGTGAACAATCGAAGTGAATTGCTGGCTGTATGTAGGCCAGAGACAAAAGTGGAGTGAAAGGGCCAGCAAATGCTGTGTGTCAGCACTTTGGAGAAGTTGTTCGTTTGATGTGGTGAAAGGAAGCCTGTGCAGAGATACTTAAAATGGAAGCAGCGTATACATACACAAAGTCTGTTTCAGTCTTGAGCTCAGCCACAGGTTGGAAAACGAGGTTGCGTCTTCGCATTCCCAGCAAACAGACTGAGTCATCAGTGTTGGCAAATACTTTTCCTAAAAAGAATGAAATAATTCAGGATCTTTCTTTGCCACTTGCAAGGGCAAATTCCATTTGTTCTGTAATTAATCTGAATAGGAAGCTTACAGTAGCTTAATTCCAGTTACTGAACATTTAATGCAATGATAAAATATCAATTAGTACTTTAATATGGTTAGATCTTCAATTTTTTAGTTTAGCTTTTGTGATTAGCAATGAAAATTGTGTGACTAAGCAATAAGAAGACTGAATTTTAACATTCAGTTTTAAATTAGATTTTAGTAAACAGTGATTTTCAAAAATTCCCAAAGAAGACATATTACCTTCTGCTGTCTCCCATGTAGCCACCATGAAACAAAAAGGAAGAACAGATGTAACTATATAACCATCAATTCTTTCATGCATGAAAAACTGCAATCACACTAGCATTTTCTTAAAGAAAGGCAAGAAAACAGCTCTCAATTATTGACCTCACTTGAGGGGAAACATTACAGCAGGGAGCACAGCAAGCCACTACTGATTGTTTTTAAATCAAGAGGGAAAGAAGTATGTTGACTAACAAACTAATACACATTCACATGTTTGCATAGTAGTAGCCTTCAATACTGGTAGTTAATCAAAGACAGTAACAGAAAGAGAAGTATTTCTGCACCTTTCCGGTAGGTTTCTTTAAGTTTTTTGGAGATCCACTGCATAGCTTTTGCAGATATTTTTGTCCCAAAGTTTCTATCAAATGGAGAAGGTGCACCACCCTGTGAGAAAATTGAAGTTCAGGTTAGTTTAATTATTGAACCAGTCTTGTTTTGGGGTTTTTTTGGTCTGCTTTCACTCCAAGCATTACAGCAGCCTTTATAGTGTTCTCTGGGAACAGAAGCCGTATTTTCAGTTTTGGGGTTTGTTTGGGTTGTTTGTTTTTTTTAACTCTTTCTGTATATTACATAAAGTCTGACTTTTCTGTCCATTTCCAATGCAGCAGATGGGACTGAAATCATGTGAAGTAGTTACAAATAGTTCTAAACAGATTGTTTGACTAATGCTGGTCTTGACCTTCAAAATAAACCTTGCTAAATTTTATCCAGAAGTGCCAACCTCAGCATTGAATAATCTAACAATAAGAGTAAGGGGAATATGCATACAACTTGAAATGACTTAAAATAAGAGACTCTCGTTTCACTACTAGTACTTGAGAAGTTTGGCTCTACATGTTATTTTTTACTCTACCTCAGTCTTAGTGACTAGTGCAGCCAAATTAAAAGCTTACTATTTGCCCATTGACAAGCAGTACAGTGAGATAAAGAGGTGCAAGTTACAAAGACTACAAGGAGTAGCTTACTACTGTCTGTTCTACAAGAACAATCCATCTGCATGTATTTTCTTAATGAAATCTCATCTCTTCCAGGATTCAGAAGCCAGATACATTACACATAGACATATAAGTGTGTTATAAGGATGTATTAAAAAATAATAAGATAGCTGTATTATCTCTTAGAAAGTATAACTGTTTATTAATATAGGCAGGAGAGGAATAAAAAATGGAAATCTTTAAGAATCTAATGCCTTTTTTCCCCCTAGACTTATAAGAAGAAATTGCAAACAAATACTTCCGAGTTGCCTACAAAAATCTACATTTTTTTTCTTTACTATTGAGTCAGACTTGCTTGAAATGCTTGAATAGTGTATGCTTTTTGTTCATGCACTTGTCTGTAATTTTAAGGTCATTTTTTACCTGCTGCATGTGGCCCAATACATTTTTTCGACAGTCAAACACTCCTTTTCCTTCTTCAGAATACAGCTGATAAATGAAGTCAGTTGTGTAGTTCTCATTGCAGTTCTCATTTCTGTAACAATTAAGGCCAGATACAGTTAGCAAATTTACTGTCAAGCAGTAGATATCTTTACAGCTACTGAATGATGAATGTTTTCCCATTTTCTGGATACCATGGATATCATGGCTTGGATATTTTCATCTAATGACATATGTTCACTACCATGTAACATACTCCTGATTTTGAAGTCTGCATTACTTTTACTACTTTGAAATCATTAGCAAATCATTTGGAATCCATTGTTGAATAAGGTAGCAAAAAATACCATTTTAGGTCTAACAAGTTCATTATGCAGAGAAAAAAAAAATGCATTAAAGTGAAAAGTCATCAGGATCCAATATCGTCATTTTGCCCTTAATAGAAGCATGGGTAATGAACACTACCTTAGGTTGTTTCTTACAATACTGTAAACGTAGGGTATTTTTTCACCCTAGCCATAATTAATAGAACGTGAACAAAATAGAACGTGAACAAAAACAATGGTATCCCCATACAACTTACTGTGGTATTCCCTCTTTCAGGCCTTTGCTATTTGGCAGACTGAAAACGTTCAAGAGAGAAGCGACAGCCTGATTCGGCTGCCTAAGAAGGTGTAATTTTAAAACATGCCAATCAATGTATTTTAACTGTTTTGATTTTTGGAAGCTATTTTATTCTGCGGTCTCTCCTGAAAGCTAAATAGGATTTTTACAGTAAAGGCTATATTATATGGGTACACATGTATGCTAGTTTTCACACTATCTTTAATAAGAATCTACAATAAAAGACACAAGCTGATGAGAAAATAGGATAAAATGTTAAGATTATAAGCAAATATATTTACACAGAAAGAAGGAAATTTTGGACTTGAGCTTCCAGACAGCTCCCAGAATTGCCTTCTGCAGCAACGGCTTTACTAAAAATCTCATGCTAAAGGAATAACATGGAACACAGACTCAGAGTGTCTTTGCAAGTAGCCCAACAGCTTACCCGGCTGGAAGTGCTCAGTATCACTGATGATTTTCATCACTATGAAAACTATTTTTGCTTACCTCAGCACTAGACCACGCTGGATACTGGTTTTCATTTTTTCAGTCAAGTGTTCCACATTAGCCTAGAAACCACAGAAGTATTTTTAATAAGCCATACTGAATTATAAAACAACTTTAATGAGCCTCCATCTCCTGAGAACTTCTGTAAAGTATTCCACATCAACTATTATGTTCAAATTCAAATAGTCAATATGTTTTGGAGACCCAGGAGAATATACCGTGCACGGCTATTCATCTTGGGTTAAAACCAACTTCTACATCACAACTGAATGTTTTGAATCACGACACAAGGTTGGTTTTGTATGCTATACTGGTACAGCACTGAGTTGAGTAACCTCAATATACATAAAAACATAGAAATTGCCACAGAAGATCATAGCTTGCCCTTACTCACAGTCCTTGCAACAGTCACTGGATAGTGACATACTGCTGTGCTGGTACTCCCCTATATGACACGAAGAGTACACATCACTGAGAAATGAGTGGGAAGGAATCAGGATTCATTTCACATCTCTATTCCTTAAAACCTTAAAGATCTTTATTTTAGTAACACCTCCAGACATGCTTTGAATGGTTGTGCTATCAAAGCCAGTACCTAATACACCTTATATACTGCTCAGTTCCTGACCTGAATAGCCTTGTGACACAATGAAGTGAGGTAGTATCACAAAAGTATTCTTTCCCTTCCCCTTCTGATTTCTGCTTTTTTTTTTTTTTTTAAATCTGCCCAAGTCTGTTCATTTGTATGTAATTTGGATTTCCATCAGAAGACCAAAAATGAAACAATCTAGTAATATAGTTAATACAGTGATTTTGTCATTTAACTGAACCTGATGCCAAGGGTAACTGGGTATATGTTCCCTTACGTAATATGGCATACGAACTAGCGTTATACCGAAGTGCTACTGACAAGCACAGCTTTTAGATACAGTCGAAACTTAATTCTGTTATATGAGCCATCTACTTTAAAAATACACATTATGCTATATATGTACAACAATTTTAGGATCTAATTAACAATGAGAAAAACAACTTTAATGCTGTGTACCTGGAGTTCTCGAATATCAAACTGTTCTTCAAAGATATAAGCAGCATCAGCTCCTGCCGCAAGGGCCCCCATATTAGCCAGATAACCACAGTAACCACCCATGGTCTCAATGATGAATAAAGTACCACTGGCTGACTGCTTGATGCGATCACACGTCTAGGCAAAGACAAGATTTTGTAAGTTTTAATAAAAAAAACTGAATTTTTATGTTTTGAGATTTCATGCAATTTTCCATCACTTAGTGGTAAAAGAATATGAAGCATTTATAAAAATATATTATTAAAAAAAAATACCATAATCCATTTAACTATAACAATTACCAAATAAAGTAATTCTTATAAATTGAACAGCCAAAGTAAAAGGTTTTGCTACTATCAACTCTTTGGTTTTTTGCTTCTTGGAAATACTAACACAAGAATTAATTTTGGTTTGTGCGTGGAATTAAAAGTTGTGATAGTCTTCTAACAGAGACACAAATAGATAAAATGGAGCTTTTTAACCAATTCTGATATAATTTAAGTTTTTCTTCTTTGCTTTAACTCTACTCATTACTGAAGAGTTTATTTTCTTTTAGTATTGAGTTCAAAATTCACTGCATTCCCAACATACTGTTTCCTTTGCAATAATGATATCCACATAAATACCATTCTTTTAAGCACTACTGGCACATTTTTAAATGTTTTCATTTTTTTATTAATAGATACAAACATACTATAAAAAGACTGAATTCTCCACTTGCATCTGACTCTGACCAGCATAAGGAATGTTCTCTACAAAGAGTCTGTTGCTTACACACCAACAATTAACACCAATATTTATTAGAGCTGTCTAAGAGACTTACTTAGAAAATAACAGAGAAAATCTCTCTAGGAAACTTAGGAAAACATAGAAACCTAGGAACTAGATCACTACGCATCTCCAGGTTTTCATAATAAGCAAAAAGCTATCTGACCAACTCACTTACTGGAATGAATTTTTCTACCATTCAAAGCCAAAGTCATCAGATAAGTTATCTTCCTTTCACAAAGCAAATAAGAGAAACAAAACATACTATTTCCCTTTCTGTCTTAAAAATAGATAAATAGATTATACCTAAAGGACTAAAACCAGTGTACGTATTTATTTGGGTCCAGCTTCCAAAAGATACATGTATTTCCTTTATACGTATTTTATTTATATATTTGCATATGTGCATGTTACGTATATACATACATACACAGATATATACACATACATTTTGAAAACGACACTTTCTTTTACATGTTTTGGAGTTTACAATGACCTCGAGCACTTTACTTTCCCCTTCCAGATGTGGTTTCATGACAATTTTTGTAGAATACTGGCTTCTGGCATATGGTAAGCAGTAACAAATTTATTAAAATCTCCACTACTTTAAACAGTGGCAGGTGCAACACTGAACCAATTTTAACTCATTTCTAAACAAAGCTGCTTGGAACTGGATGGATACAATGTACTTAGCCTGTATTATAAAAAAAAAAATAAATCTTGGCTTTAGACACTGAAGAAATAAATGCACATGTATCTCCTTCATTTTGAGAGACAAGAAACATTTGTAAACTCCAAGCTTTCTAAAAAAGTTTGCCAGCTGCTGGTAGCAGAATAAAATTTTCTACCTTTTAAGAAGCTCCAAGTTCTAAGCAAGGATATAAATCATTAGTTCTGTTTGGAATTACTCACTTTACATTCATTTAGAAGTATTTCTATCCTTGGCTATACAAGATGCATAGTAGAAACTTTCTACTATTCTTACTCTCTCAGAGTGACTGTGATGAAAACACCAAAATACAAAAATGGCACATATTGATTTTAAAGAATGCTAATTCATATAGTACTCCACAGGCTGAAAAGGCCAAAACTCAAGTGCCTTATGCAGGTTTCAAAAGTTTGAATATAAAGGCATGGTGAATCTTTGGAGAACTCTTTGGTATTCCATTGCTAGTTGAGCTTTCATAGGAAATGATACAGCTTCATGAAACAAATGTGATATACAAAACTTCACCAAATGAACAGTGTGGTATTATTAGCATAAACTAAACATTCTAACCATAGTGAAATACAATAGATACAACCATTTTTTATTTACTGATAGGATTACTGAAAGCTATACAAATTGCAATTAAAATTAATAATAAACCCAGTGAAATCAAAGGAAGCAGCAATATATTTTCCCATTAATAATTTTCCCATTTTGTTTTCATGTTTTCACTTTTATAAGTAGACTGCTATTAGAAGTGGTATCAGTCACAATTAACAGACTTAACCTACTTCTATAAATGTCAGCCTGCGGGGGAAGCAGCTAATGGAGTGGTGAAAGTAACTGGGTCCTGCCTGTAAGTGTACTGCTACAGTTCATCCACACTATCCCTTAGGTCATCTTCACCCCAGGGAAGGCTAGGACATAATGTAATCCACCACAGCTCTTTCAATTATCTACTGGAGCTTTTTCGTTCCATATAAATAAGTAACACTGCATCAGAGCAGGAAAACAAACCTGTATTTCTCAAACCCCTGGATTTCTATTCTTTCTTGGCCAATTACTTCGTAATTAGTTAGATGGACTGATAATGAGGGGTTTGATAAAACCCAGAACTGTTCAGAGATTTACTCTCTTGTCTGCATAATACCTCAACTCAGTTCTCTTTGCAGTGGCTCCAGCAGCCTCAATAGGATAGTAAAGAAGAAGAGTTCATATAGCAGTTTTACCTAAGGGAAAAAGCCATGGCACACTAAAACTAGAAAATTGATTGTTCTGACTGAAATGGAACACTCATTCATAGCAAGCTCTGGCCTTACTCTGTTTAGTTACAGTGACATCAGTGACAGCCTTAACTGCTTATACTATGCATGCATTCATATGTACTTAATACATGTTAAGCCTAATGCAGTCTATGGGATTATTCATGTGTTTAGTGTTAGCCATGTACTTAAAATGCTCTACTGCACTAGGCTCAGTGGAATCATGCAGTATTTATTTACAAATAATGTGCTTTCTTCTTTCACCTAAATAATGCTGAGGAGATACACAACACAAAAAACAAAATCAAAGCAAGCAAACTATTTTATTCTCAGTAAAAGTAAATGCCCTAAGCACTAATGCAGCAGTCTTGGATTACAAAACATACTCCCCAGAAGTTGAAACACACAACATAATGAATTTGTTGAAGGTTAATCTTTATTTAGTCTTCAAAAATTTCTTAACTGTAAGAAAACCCAAGTAACTGAATTATTTTAGAAAACTAGACATTTCAAGGTCTTTCAGTATCCTTATCTTATGCATTTTATTATCTTTTAAATTTTTTTAATTGACTTTTAAAAAGATACGCAGTCTTACCTCCACAATAGCATTCAGGGAAGTGTCAGCACCAATGCTAAAGTCTGTGCCTGGCACATTGTTGCTAATAGTAGCAGGCAACACACAGATAGGTACGCAAAACTCCTCAAAGCGGGAACGTGCCTCATGTAGCTGCAGACAACTTTCATAGGCCTGAAGCAGTGGTACAAGTATGAGTGATACATTCCTTGTCTTTGGATTGTTCTGCTAATGACTCCTTGTATGTGATGGTATATTTGGCTGTCCATTGGCCCAAGTAAATACAATTGGTGAGATTATTTGGGGGTGGATATCCTGTATATACCACAACAGTGCACTGGGGTTGCATTGGCACAATGCTCTTTGAAGAAATGCAGAAGATTAGTGCAAGCTAATACAGAGCGAACGTGAAGTGTGCACAGAACAGGCATTGGAAGCAGTTGGGCAGAAAAGGGCAGCATAAAGGTAGATTGGAAATCATTCCACTAGAAACCACTTAAAGAAACGAAGTTTGGTACATGTTAAGGAGTTTAGAAAGTTAACTAGTATAACACCTACAGTTTGAAGGAAATGCTTAAAGAAGGCTGCTTTTTAAAAAACTATGTTATCCTATAAAGCTGAGAGACACATCTATTTCTAAGAAAAAGGAAAGAAGTTTTGCCTGTGCCTTCCATGATTCTATTAACATCACACATCTGCCTCTATGCACACAGTCTGGACGCAGGCCCAGAAAAATCCAGGAACATGCACATGGATGAGTTAATAAAGTTTTTGAGTATAGTTCAAGATTCTTTCAAAAGCAGCTGTAGGTCCTTGGAAAGATTCCAAACACTCATAATAAATCATCATGGGATAAGGATTAGGTGTTCCTAATAGATGTCAAAATAATACTTAAAGGTTAAGATTTTGCAGCTGTTCTAAGACAGTAAACATATTTTTAAGTTACATTATTCCAATTCTTTCTAATGTAAACTAATCAGCATCTCTCACGATGTGCGGCAATTTTTTAAACTGCCTAGGTAACGACTCTCCACAAGAAAGCCTGATTACATCCTATGTTACATTTTTCTTAATCTTTCTCCCAGAAAGGACTGATGTTCACAGAAGTCTCATCTTTCCAATTTCTCAAATCAGTTCAGAGAAGCGAACTATTGCAAGTTCAGAGAAGCAAACTATTGTAGAACAAAATTAGATGTCTATCAAGCTCTCTCCACAAACATCTATTCAGTGCCTGATTTACACATTAACTTAGGAGAAAATGATGGGAAAAAAATTTCACCTATGAGAGTCCTGCTCTCTAGGTTTTTGTCATAGATCAAGAAGACCCTGTTCAGTGAGGGGACAGGACACGTGTGGCACTAGGTGCGTTTAAGTGCAAACTGACTTCCTAAAGTGTCTTTTTACTCATGTGTTTCAAAGTACAACTTTCAGTTAAGGTCAGTGATAGAATTAATTTCTGGAAGTCCAAACATAGTCTAGAACACTGCACTTTCAGACCTGTAGCTCTAAGAAGCACTATAGTCAGAAGAGCCACAAATGGATTTTTCTTTATTGAGAAGATTTCAGTTAACTGCCTAGCCCAACTCAGCTCAGGCTGCTTTGAATTTTTATTTCTACTGAAAAATAAAGATAGATACTGTGTCACAGAGGTTTGGTAAAACCACATGGCTTCCTGGAGATCTGCAAAACACTAGTATCTCTAAAAAGTTCTACATTGAGATGTTTTGGGAAACCAAGTTGAAGGGAGGTTTAGAGCAATAACTAAAATAATTGGTTAGTCTGCATTTATGATATGTTAAAATGCAGTTATGATATGTTTTACTTGCATTAAATATTGCCATTTTATTTGATGCAAGTGATTTCAGCAAACATATCAAAAGACTATACCTTCACCAAGCATGAGCATTAGATAATCATAATGCAACATCTTCGCATCACTGCAGCAAAATATGGTAATACTTTCAATAAAGGGTCACTTAATAATTATAAAGGGTAAACAATTAATAGGAGGTTTTAATAACTGCTTTACAACTATTTCTTCTTAAATAAGTACTACAGTAAGATTACAGAGGGATACTGTAGTTTGTCAATAAAATGCTTTAATCATTTCACACCCTTTTATTGTACGTGTTATTAAAAAAAGTTATTGCCATGACCAATGACTCTTTAAAAAGAAATACACACAATCAAGCAGACACTGGTTTGTTGACTTCATGTTTATCTAAATGCAAATGGCCACTGAAAGGACTTACTGCCCTAGCTCCACATGCAGCTGTTGCTAGGAGTGAAGTGGATGGATGAATATTTAACTGGTTAGGTAGCTTAGCCAGGCTGATTTTCAGCTTCCTAGCTGGGATTAATGTGAAGCTATGTATGCTAATACCAGCACTGGGAGCATACAGGAGTCTCTGTTTTCCAAGGGAAATGCATGGAGATGGCATTAAGGCAATCTAGGCTTTCTTCACTCCTCAGTGACTGTTTGCTATTCTTTTTCTTACAAAACCAACTGATCAACCTGTACCCCCTTCTCTTCGATGAAAGGAGAAGGCAGATTGTCAAAGAAATACATTAGTGAGTTTTAGCCTCTTCTTTTTTCAGGTTTAATTTTTTTTCTATTCTCCCATTTACTTCTAAATCTCCTTAATCAAATACATACTCTTCCATACTTTGTTCTGGTTTATTCCTCTTTCCATCAGTTAATACTAACCATCAGTAGGCTTTAAGTTAAGTTTTCATCTTTTCCACTCTCTTTCCATGTTCCATAGCTGAAAAAGTCTAACTTTTTATTCATTCTGCTTAATTATGGAGTAGGTTTCTGTTTTTTAGTTCCATCTGCAAAATGTATTCCTAATGCCTCTTTTTGATCAAGTAATCCATTTCATTTAAAAAGAAATTTCTATCCTTCACGGTTATATAGCAAAAAAACCTAACACTTCTTTGTTGTCACATTCCAGAGGTCACCCTATCTGAGATAACATTCTAGTCATTTCATGGAATTAACAACATGGAGTTGAGAACATAGGTATTTTTATTATGGTACTTATTTTACTGATGCTTTCTTTTCACAGAAATCTCAAAGCTCATGTTCTTATCCTTCATTCCTGAACAACTTAATTTGCATATCTAGATATACAAGCCTTATGCATACCCTTTTCAGGTACAGAAACATCCAGCTTTCTCCAGGTATTTTATATTGGAGTTTTCACTGACAATTGTTCTCAGTAATATTCTGAAAACTCAAGTGAAAAATACAGCATATAATAAATTTAAAACACTATTCAAAAGACAGACCAAATTCTACTATTCAAATGATTACAAGCCTGTATTTTAAAACAAAAATGGAAAAAAAAAATTGAATGTTTCAAGAGGCTCACAAATATGTTATAGAATCTAAATTCTAATTACTGAGAAACGTTCCATCCACTATCTATGAATCAGGGAAAAGAACACTCCTACTTAATCTCTCATTTGGAAACTATGTATCTCTTGGTCTGGATTTTGTATTCTTTTTTCTTAAAAGCAAATGCAGCATCTTAACACATTTTATCTGCAAATGTCTTGAGGTGTCATTTACATACTTGGCAAGTTTCAAACAACCTAATACTGACAAGTGTCTAGTAATGCTAAATACTAACAAGGGCTCATTACCCAGCAGAAATGTACTTACCTTACTAAAAGTTGCCAACAATACAGAAGAACAATACCAAAGAAAAACTAAGTATGATGACATTTGGTGTTCATAAGAGGTATTAATCTGAGAGTGTTGGAAACTATGATGTATTTATTGACCTAACAGAGGCAATAAGAAGAAAAATGCTATAAACTACATAACAAACATTCATGTCCCATCTGCTACTTTCATTTACCACAGGCAATTGTAGGAACTGTACTAAGTCTACTAGTCACATTTAATAGGGTCATCATCACTACCGAACCTGATCTGAAAATATGACACAGGAATGAAAGGATATATTTTCATTATCAGTTTTAGTGAATCATGTTCAAACAATTGGAGCAGAAAAGTGAAAAGATACCAAGCAGAAATGTTTCCCCAACACAAAAATCTGCTCCTTCTCAAAAAAAACAAAAACAAAAACAAAATAAAAAAAATGTAATTTTCCATTAGATTGAATCTAAATCTTGCAAAGACATTACATTTCTTATTGATTTCAGAGAAAAATCTAGGGAAAAGAAAATGCAAAATCAAGTCAGAAGCTACTAGTAAAAAATAAAAATAAAAAAAATCATTTTAAGAAGTTTTCAAGTACTGCATTGAAAATCTAGATATAATGACATCTTATTATGCGATGAAAGCAAATGATACCTAGAAACCTAAACATAAAACAAAATGCAGCAGAAAGGAGGGAGAGACTGCCTGACTATGATATATCCTCTCTACATGAAATAACCTATAAAAAGAAGTCAGTTAGCTAAACAAAGCTTATAAAGAAAAGAAAAGAAGAAAAGTAGGTGTTATGCACAATCATTTTACTCACCTTAATTTGTGATCATTTTGGAGAGATATTTTTATTTACCAGAACTGGAAACAACATCACCATTTATAACCTAAGTTGTCTATGAAGAGTATGTTCAAGATAAATTTTAGTTAGTTACTGTCTTGTTCAAGAAGTTAAGGAAACTGAGATTTCCTAACTGAAGGGTTTACTTTGCTAAAGATAAATATTTTTATGTTGGCATGTAAAAAAAATTAAACAAAACAGGTGAAAATCATGTTAGTGCTTTTGAAGTTAATAGCATTTGAGGAATGCATCAAATTTCTGAAAATAATATCATGATTAAAATCTTCAAGTACACCTGACAGAAAAACTGACATTTAATTTTCAAAACCATCTCGAAATTCTTTCCCTGCTTTACATAAGCACTGCGCTCATGATTTTTCACTTTTTAAAATGTAGCTCACTACGTACAATCAGTGAAAAATTCTACATTCTGGCTCCAACATGACTGCAGACAGAAGTCAGAAAGTGAAACTTGTAATATAATATAGTCATTCATTGTAATTCACTAAGATATGTAATAATTCTGTTTCTTCTTTGGGAGAGAAAATATAAATTAATTTTTGAAGATGAATTCTTGGCTGTGTTTTAAATAAACTATGGACACTCTACAACTGTACTTGCAACATGTATGTGTCCGCAGATTATGCTGAAGAAAAAAAAAGAAAAAAGTGCTATTGTTTCACAGACAAAATTATGTCATAATAAGTTGCTCTTCTTAGCAGTGGATTAATACTTCTCCAAGTGATCTAGATGAACTGTAATTGTGCATGCCTGACATCTTAATTTGTATGGTTTTTGACAATGCTTTCTATCCAACTCAGTTTTGTATTAACAAATTCATTTTTAATTTAGATCATATTACTGGATGTGGGTTTTTATAAAATACTTCATAATATGTCTCAGCTCTTCTTGGTAAACCCGTTATTAGTAGAATACATCTAATACCTATTATTAGAGAAATGTGGACCTTACATTCTTTATAGAGGAATAAACATGTTATATAAATAAGGATCTCCTGAATAAACATTTCATGCAGTGTTTGTTACAGCTAGGTATACTAATACTCTACATATAAGGGGGATTTTTCCCCTACAGTGCATCAAATGATCACCAAGTCTTAGCTTTAGGTTTCTTTCTTCCATATACAACAGATATATGCCATCTTATTTTGTAGTTTACAAATGTACAGATCACACCTGAAAGTTGCAGTTTCAGAGGAAACCTAATGGAAATGCATGGGATCCTAAACCTTGTCTTTTTTAAGAGGTATCATGAATGTGGCTCTATCAAGTGTGTAATTTTCCAAATTACATTTCCAAAGTTCTGGTCCATAAAAATATCCAGTTCTAGCCAATATAGACAGTTTTAACCAGAACTGCTGTTGTAAGTTAGTAAGCGCACACACCAGAATAGACTTACATCAGTTATAGTGTTCAGAGCAGTATCTGCACCAATGCTGAAATCTGAACCCGGTACATTGTTGGATACAGTTGCAGGAACCATAACCATTGGAACACAGAATTCGTCATATTTCTCTCGGGCAGCTGACAATTCCAGAAGTCCAAGGTATGCCTGTTGGGCACAGGCATTGGGTGAAAAGTGAGGATGAATAAAATAAGGGCAAAGTTGGAGTGATAAAATGGAAAGGGCCACAGGGGGAGCCATTTCTACCATAGCATACTTCAGCATGTCAAAGCATTAAGGAACTAAATCTAACATACACACACACAAAAAAAAAAAAAAAAAAGGCATTAAAAACAGGTACACCTTTTAAAATAAACAATAAATAGAACTTTCATTTTCGCAGGAATATATAATTCAGACATAACAAAGTGTTTTGTACAACATAAACAACTGCAAACTAGTTCCCCAATCTTCTGGTACTGTTACTGCTCATTTGAAATCTTAATATTCCTGAACTAGGACCTTGCCTAAAAGGTTGGAAAGAATGAACGATTCATTCCTTACCAAGAAGCAATAAACATGTCTTCTCTGGGAAGAGTTGGCAAAATACTTTCCTGAATCAAGGTTTCAAAAAAATTATTATTTTGGTAAGAGGAAATAAACATGAAATATGGACAAAGAGAAAGTACTTCTCTAGATCAACTATAGGTTTTGAAATGCACTGTGTGGCAAAAAAACAGCTTAAATAAGGGACCACGGTGCAATTACTACTAAAGATCAAGAACTTCTGCATGTTCTAAGTATTGATACAGTACTAACTGTAACTTGGCACTACTGAAGTAATATATATATATAT